GGAAGATGAAGAAATTCCGAACCGACATTGTGGCGCACCTTGGCTCGCATTCGCACATCTCAGATGGCGGATTACAAACGGACTTTCAGAGGAAGTCCGGGTCTCTGATACAACCTTCCTCGAAAGCATCGAGTGATTATTCTAACTGGAAACTGCTAAATACAGAATAACGATTTTGCAGACCCGATGACCAGAAATTTAAAATCTTGTCGTTACCTTCCTTTTCGTTTTTCAAAATACCTGTTTCTGAAATTTATTGATTTTAAGTTGTACATATTTAAATTATTTTATTTTTCTGTCCAATCTTGTTAATGAGTTGTTTAAGTAGCGCTTAACTGCCATTAATTTCATTCATAAAACGTTTCAGGAAACTGGATCAAAATAGTAGCGACGAAGAAGTAAAGCGTATACTTCAAGAAACCACAAAAAATCGGACCCATAATTGTCATTCCTTTTAACCCCAATGTTTCAGCACAAGTCAAAAGTATCTTACAAATGAGATTTCGGGTCTACTAAAAAAAGAGGATGACATCGGGGATGCTTCTTTCCAAGACAGTCCTTCCACCAGCAATCCAGTGGAATCCTTTAATGTCGTTTATAAGATAAAGTACAGTGACTGTAACAAAATTTACATTGGTAAGACCTACTCACAGCTAATTATCAGAATAAAAGAACATCTGTCTCTAATCCGCAACTGCTATGCAGAATACCGTAGTACTGGTACTGCACTGCATGCCACTGATGAAAGACGTGACTTCACCGAAACGAATGTTTCAAAGAATGTCACTGCACGTCATTAACTGACAGTGACAAGTCCAGGTTAAGGCTATGAATCAAAGAATCATCATATTGCGTGAAACAACAAATGTGCAATGATTCCTCTTCATCCCTTGATAAGAATGAAAGCTGGCGAGAGGGGGAGACAATCAGTAAAACTTATGAAAAATGTGATTTTTCATCTGACCCACACATATCACTCAGGATTATGTTACAGAAACTTTGTTACTGTACCAAAACGTTAATTTCACTTTTTCATTTACTCAGTCTTAATTATGTTACAAAAGTTCGTAACGTAAAGCGTCGACTGTTAGAAATTGAAAGTTTACTTATTGAAACGGGGCAGAGTAAACTCCATTTTTCCGCCTAATCAAGAAATATTAATATGCAGCATACAGCAGACATGTAATAACGAAGATATTATATACAGTAACTGGAATAAATTTGGAAAATATCACAGATAAAGATGCCAAAACTAAACAACACCAATGATATATTAAGCACAAGCAATTAATGCTGACGGATAACCTCAGGGTCTTTGGTGGTTCGATCCGAACTTAGGACAGTAGATCTTCCTGAACAGTTCGGTTCGAGAAGATGGGCTAAGGTAGGATGATCTGATGGATGCCCTCGTGACAGACATCCAGGACCTTCATATAAAAAACCTTTCGATCTCTTGTTTACGTCTGAGATTTTGTCATGCATTCTGAAAACAGTTCGCTGAAGAAGGTGAAATTTCCCATCGAAGCAAACATAGAAGAATTAGAAGAATGGAAATGCGATGAAACTAAACCCATAGAAATTGTCACAGACCTGCAGAACGAAGGAACAGCAATGATATACTCTCGCATGTACAGAAACTTGACTTCCATAAAGTTGACTGTTACTCACAGAGACCATCTAAATTTATCCGCTGTTGGTCCTTCAAAATGAAATGCATGAAATTCTGTAAGCGCCAGTCAAGTGACAACAGAAAATAACGCCTTGCTCGACTTTAACGATCACGTGTGTGAAATGTGAATACAATATGAAAGGGACAGGGTGAGGGAATGCAGGTCAATGGATGCTAGTCAGCTCAAACAATCAAGAAGAACGAAAGCCTTTTTTATCGACGAAAAGAAATACGTGTAGAATCCTTCCGCGGCAACTACTCTAGGAAGCAGTAAATCAAGAAGCGAAGGAATGCTTTTCTAGAGCTTGTCTATGAAAGTAATGCCGAAATGGCGATACCATCATCCATTCCAAAATTTTACCTAAAAGATATATGAACAAATAAGCCGTCAGCACTTAAAGTTTTTAACGGTATAAACAGAAATTTAATATTTTAATATGTTACATTTTATATCGAGTTTGATACGAAACATCAGTTTCTCGTATGTGATCGTAATTAATCTTGTGTCGCATTCCCGTTAATTGATTTTGTGTCGCATTCCCGTTTGTGACATTCCGAAACATTTTAAATCTTATGCTGTATTCACCATGACTACGAATTCACAGAAACTACATTCATTAACCAGTAGTTAAGAGCTTTAGAATGGTCAAGCCAAATTCATGCCAGACGATGTGACCTCTATTCAATTAATTTAAAATTATCAACGATTCGATTTATTCTGATGAGAGGTCATCAGATTTTTTCCTCTCGATATTTTGCAGTCGACCGGCAGAGAAAACTAGGTTCGAAGATTCGACATAACGGATAGAAAATTCGGCTGCACCTTTTTGATAAGCATTCCTTTTTACTACATGGGGATCTGAACATGGTAATTGAGTAATCTGTTCAGAATCTACAACTGAACGTCAGTGTATCAAGTATGGTTATAAAAATGCTTCTATCACACATACCATCAATAGTTACGACGTCAATGTCCACTATTTTAGCACCATCTTTGGTTTCCGTTTTTGCCTTTGCTTCCTCCTTGTTCATGGGTTCGCAGACTTCCATTGGTTCAGCGGCCATTTTTTTCGAATGAAAACTAAACCAATAACTTGAAAAGACGATAATAACTGGAAATGTTTAAATTATTTGGAAACGAAAAAAAGCTGAAATTCTTTGTCGAGCATATGACTCACTTTCACGGATGTCCACATAATCTGAGGCTATAACTTACAAGGTTTATTCCATGGCTACCAATGCTGTACGAAACAAAATGTCCTCATTTTAATCTTACATAAAAAGAATCGATGACCACATAGGCACGCAAAAAAACAATCCAGGGTAAGTCCCGTTAGGAAAACATGCTTAGGAATACGACTTCTGCCGTAGCAACGAACTTTGCTTATAACATTTCTGATGGTCACAATCATCAGAATAAGCTACTCAGCTGTTCAGACTCAGCCAACTTAAAGCGATGATGACAAGCATATGCAGACTCTTTAAGAATATGACTTTTACAAATGGACGATCTATGTGATTTTTCAAGCTCTAACAAGCAGCAAAATCAACGTTCCTACAACAAAACAAGTTCAAAATCTTTACAACTGACATCGATGAGATATTCTGCTTTCCTATCATGGCGGAATTTTGCATAATAAATAGTTATAATCTTTGAAAACATGGAATAGTTGCAAAAACAACAAGTGGAACGATCTGACAAAGCTGAATGAATTGGTCATCTAGCATCATCAAAAAGTTGATTAAACAATAAAGCTGATTAACTTACATTATTGAGAAAACTGCTACTACAGGAGGAAGTAACAATAATGGAAAATTAGTAATTCTGTAACTACCCTTTACTGAGCGGTTAGTTACAGTAAATTGTATAGTTGCTAGGTGCAAATATTCTTCGTTGCTAAATGTTTTATAATTACTATATTATACCACACAGATTTTCTGAAATGAAAAGTGCAGATTGTGCCTGCTAATGCAAGTAATGTATTTTTCGAAAAGGTTCCAAACAGAACAAAACACTGTTTTAAATTTGTGTTTCATAGATCATTTGCTGAAGTAAATAAAAAAAGAACTACCAAAGAAAGAAGAAGATAAATCAAAATAGAAGTCGTATTACAGGAATGAAATCAAATGATCCCGATATTCTGGCGTAGCTTCCATGAATGAGAGCTATACATATTAACTGCAAAAATTATTTATGACGTTTAAGTTCAAACCAATGCCTCCTTCTGCCTGAAATCTCTCTTTTGAGGTTCATTATAATACACAATGGCAATATTAAAACTTCAGAACATTTTCGAGAGATGCTTCACACGTTAATTCGATGCCTCTACAGGTGGTACGTTGCTCTTGCTAAAGCTGTGTGTTATCTTAAGAGATGCCAACTAATAAGAGACACTGGCTTAAATATATTTCATAAATAATTTATGGCAATAAAAGCGTGTTCTCTTCTGATGCATATTTCAAGAACTTATAAAGGATGACGAATGCCGTCAGGAACAAGATGCGAAAGTAGCTTCCATGTGACGGTGGTGTAAAACCAGAAGGAAGGGCCCAGTTTGATTTATTAGCGCCCCTTTCCACCCAATTTGGATCAAATGTCTTATTAGTACCAGACTGTTCGCTTGCATTCAGAAACGAATGACGATTTTTCACATTATGCAAGGGCATATTTATTTTATTTCAAAGTAATGCACAAAAAGGATAACCTATAATATTTCAGGTTAGGAATTAGAACGCTAATAGCGCAGCTACGAAAATCAAGCTTAGTTAACTTACACGTCCCT